CTCATATTTTACCTCATATTGCTATTTGCTTGGTTGTTACACATATTTTTGCATCGTTACCGTGACTCAGGAAGGAATCTTTGGAAAGCACTTCCATGCATTAGACTCCACCTCCGGTACACATTCAACAGGGTGATTATGCAGAAGAAAGATTATGCAACAACCTTTATGGACGCCAATCGCCGTGAAAAGGCTCATCAGTTACATGTTGCTTCGTTGGAAACGGAACGCCTCAAACTGGAAAATGAGGTTGCTAAAATACAAAAACGACTGAGGGAAATTGGCTCAGCCAAAGAACTTATAGAGAAAGAGATTCAGAACCTGGTTGCAGTAAAAACTGAATTATATGATGAGGCTCGTCGATTGGATCCTGAGTCGTGGGAACTACGTCAATGTCACCTTTTATTTGAGCATAATTCTGATATGGCACACAAAGATTTGGCCAAACTAGATGAAGAATGGCATGAAATCTCGGAAAAATGGTTTGCAATCCGTGTAGAGCTGCGTGCCCACATTGATGCTAGTGTTGTGCCGACTAGAATTGATTCGACTTTGCCGTCACAAGGGAACTAGAAATTAGTTGGGAATAAGGCGGATGTAGGCAAAACAGTAAATAACTAGTCTATAAAATCTATCAGGAGTATTGGCCTTAACTTTCCGAGGCGAGGACTTTTCCTCGGAATTTCCTACTGAGGCTATGGTCTCGCCATCGTCTCCTTCAGCTACTTGGCGCATCTATGTCTATTGTCTTGATGTGTTTCTATTCACCTTTTGTTATGTATGGCGGCTGGTTATTATATTGCTTTGAACAACTTGTCGTCCTTGTTGTGACTATTTTGTATGACTGATCGTTTTTTACATTAGATAGCCTCTGCTTAGTCATGGTCACTTTATGTTTTAAATTTGATCACTTCTTTTGCTTACTTAGTTGACCATTAACATCCAAATTAATTGGAACTATCTACCGTTTTTTTAACAAATAAACGTACTTTTCAGATAAGATAATGATAAATTAATTTATCTTTCATTCCGTTAAATTTATTCATACTTTCCTTTTTTTTTGTTAGTTTGTCCGCTAAATTTATCATATTACTAATTTTGGCAAAGTCGAAAAATATTTAACTATTATTCTTTATTTATTTAACATTTATTTACAAAAAATATGACTATATTTTGTTACATTCTCTCTTTATTTTTTTTTTTTTTTAAATTTCAAACTAAAATTTCAAAAATATCTCATCAAACTACTTTTTTACTTTTATCATTTTTTCATAAAATTATTCAATTTTTTTAATCTTTGTGTTAACACAAATGCTCTAATTTTACCGAACGGAGGAAATATTATTTATGAAAGTAGAAGTAAGAAAAATGTAAATGATTAAAAATTTTAATATAAAAATAAAAAATATATATATAATTATTTCGAAAGAGTTTGTATGTTTAATATTTTGGTTAGATGTATATTTTTATGTGAGATATATGAAATTGTGTAAGTAATATATAAAAAAGAAGGTTTTATATTGAATGCTGATTTTTTTATTTTGAGATGATAAAATATAATACTCCATCCGTCTCATATAAGAAGCAATATTTGGTTTTCGACACAAAAATTTAAGTGGATAGAATAAAATTAAAATTATATAATGTGATGAGAGAGTAGAGTGTATATTTATTTTTTTATTTGAGTGAGTATAAAGAGATAAAATATATTAATTATTTTTATTTTAAAAATATTGCATAATATGTGTTACGGAACAAAATAAAATATATTATATATATTAAAAATTGTGTTGAAAAACAAAATAATTAAAAGAACAAACCCTTCCCATTGATAATTTATGGGACAAAGCACCCACACCGAGTAACGCGCCGCCAGATGCATGTTTATATATATATATATATATATATATAATCTGATTCAATTAAATTACATAATATTATTATTATTATTATTATTATTATTATTATTATTATATGTATATACTTTGCCTGGTCGGCCTCATGCTCTTCATTTGAAAATTGGCTTCTCTCTTAATTAAGCTATCCTTGCAGCCTTCATCGCGATGTTTCTAGCGTTTACATATATATATATATATATATATAATCGACTATTCAATTCATGATTTGGATTTTAATTTTTTTTTAATTAGAATAAATATTTAAGTGTTTATTTAGATATATTTTAAAAGTATTTGGATTTTGAATATTATTATAAACAGTAAAAATTTGAAAATAAATGTGAATTATATTCAGCATATATACTCGGTATCACTCTTATTTTTAATTTCTTTTTCAATAGCAAAATATATTTTTCATTTTATATAAAATTGCAATTTTGGTACTTTGGCCGCTGAAAAGCACATAAATTTTACTTTTGAACTAAAGTCAATTTTAAAATTTTTTTTCCTCTCCCAAGCCCAAAAATCTCTCAATTTCCCCCACCTAACAACACTTTCAATTTTTTCACACATAGTGAGTATATATTATATATACACGTATATGTATACATATTATGTGTGTGGACATAATGGGATAAGGTTTATTTTTAGGACAGAGGATCTCAAGAGCAATTTTTTTCACCTAAAACTACCATGCATAGCCTGTTGAAATATCTTAGATATTTCAATTTTAGATTTAGTAAGATTTATTTAGATTAATTTGGTCTTATTTATAAATTAGATTACTTAAATTTAAGTTTATCGAGTATTCAAAAGTTTCTTTCGAATGCGAGCATCACCACACACTTTTGTCTCTTCCCTTGTTGGCTTTGGGAAGAAAGAATAGCCCAAACTCATATGAGAAGTGAAGCTGATATTATAGATGACAAAGAAGCATTTTCATATTGGAGTAAATGTTTGTTTGTTTTTTTTTTTTTTTTTTTTTTGTGTAATAAGAATTTATTTTTATTTATCTGAAATTATGATTCCATAATCTTGATTGTGAGCTCAGTGATTCAGGATTAAATAAGTTTCTATACCGAACGAAAATGCATTTGGATTTTTATAATAGATTAATAAATAATAATTTTTTATTTGTTAGTAGAACTGTATAAGATCATTTTGATTTTTTTTTATCCTTTATATTTTATGTATACGTGTAATATTATATTTTTAATTTATGTAAAAATTAAAAATATTTTAGTATTACTATTTGATATTGCAACAAGAGAGTCGATGGATAAGTGAAAAAGGTTTCATCTCATGTGAATGAGGTAACAGTTGAAATAGAAGAGAATAAATGAAAAATAAAAAATAAAAATAATGTTATAAATTATAATGAAAAAAATAACATATCAGATAATTATATGCATAAAAGTTGGTCTTGCATTTCAACCAAATTTAGAATGGAGACTGAACATAAGCATTAAATATGACATGATAGTTTAGTCTAATTAACCATTTTCTTAAATTCTCAAACTAACTCTATATTTAAAAAAATCACAATTTAAAGATACTCCCTCCATTTTAAAATTATAGTATTATTTGGGCTGAATACAGAATTTAAAGAATATTGATAGTCAGTAAAAAAAAATGAGTAAAAGAGTTTATTATCTTTGTGAGTGTATTAGTGTAAAAAGTAGTGATATTTATGTAATAATAATAAAAAAGTAGGAATAATTTTATGATGAATATTTATGGAAATGAGATTATTATTTTGGGACGGAAAAAAATAGTAAACAAGACTATTATATTGAGACGAAGGGAGTATAATATTTTGAAGTTTTAGCATTATTTTAACTTTTGTTAAAATATTATGTTAGTATTTTTTTTCTTTTACAAATATCAAATTAAATATATTATCTCCGTCCGACTTTAAAGATTACGTTTACTTTATGCATGTTGATAATTAATTAATATATACAAATTAATACTCCCTCAGTCCCAAAAGAAGTGTCTTATTGAAAGTTGGCACGAGAATTAAGGAATAATAATATTTAATTAAAAATTGGTATAAAGTATAATATAAATGACTAAAATGCCCTTGCTTTTTTGAAGGATTTTAAAGAGTATGTTAGAGTAATAATTAGGGGTAGTATGGAAAATTAGGAATAATTTTGTTATAAAATGGGGACCACGGCTACTAAATAAGGAAACAAGACAATTGTTTTGGGTCGGACGAAAATGGAAAAACAAAGACAAATCTTGAGGGAGTAAAAAATTGCAAAAATATTTTCATTTGTGTCTTATAATACTAATATAATAACATTTGTACAAAAAAATTATACAAATATAAGAATATTTTTAATGTCTATTCTGTTTACTTTTAAGATTTTACCCAAAATTTTACTATTCTAATTTTCTTTTTCCTCCAAAATTATCAAATCAAACATTCAATTTTTTATTTATTTTATTACACTAAAATCTAATCTTATATTCAAAATAGCACATCAATACATATTTATATCATATTAAACAACTATTTCAATTCAAAATTTTACTATTCAAAATCAAAATCTCAAAATAAACACTTTTTCATAGATATATAATATATATATAAATATATATTTTCTCCTACATGGAGACCGATGGTGTGTTTTTTTTGATAAATTTAAAAATATTTATTTGAATTTAATATAAAAATAATATTTAATAAAATATTTTGTGAAAAAAATAATATATATTTTTTAAAAATTATAAAATTCAAATAATAAAATTTGGGAAACTCGTTTAACGAAACATACCCGGTGGGGTATACACAGATCCCACCCTGTCCTATTCCTTCTTTCAAAGCCATCGGCTCTCAACACGTCATGCCAATACTATGACGACACGTGTACACAGATCCCACCCTGTCCTATTCCTTCTTGACTAAGATTGAAATGGGACCCACTTGATGATGTCAGCAGGGACTATTTGAAAAAGCTAGCCACCTCTGCCCCACCGCCATAAGTGCTCGCTGACTCAAAAGTCACTTACTGTGAAATCCCCAAAATGCCCCTACTGGTTCGCCTTTTAAATACCGGCCTCCCCTCCTTCGTTCCTTCCCTTTTCCTCTTCTCTCCTTCCAACCCACCCCTCCGAACCGGTTTTCCGGCGATGTTTTTCCCCGAGTCACCGCTCGGTAGCCCCTTCCAAACCGGGTTCCCGCAGTGGGAACCGTTTGATCCGCCGGTTCTCTTCCCGGTCGACGAAGAACCGGCTGTCTTCACCCCACAATCCTCCACAGAACCCGTCAGTTCCAACTCCGGTTCCGACGAACCGCCCTGCGATTCCTTAACCGTTACGCCCGGTCCGGACTCGGTCTCGGTTATAGACGAACGGAAGCGGCGGCGCATGATATCGAACCGGTTGTCGGCTCGGCGGTCTCGGATGAGAAAACAGAAGCATCTGGAGAACCTGCGGAGCCTATTGAACGGGCTCCGGTTCGAGAACCGGGAACGTACGGTTCGAGTCCGGTTTATGGCGCAGCAGAACCTAATAGTCCGAGTCGAGAACGAGCATCTCCGGTCGGAGGCGGCGGCGCTCCGGCGTCGGCTGTGGGACATCCGGCAGGTCCTGCTGGTCCGGGAGCTTCAGCAGCAATTGAACTCCTCATCTGCAATAGTGCCACTAAATAATAACTATAATGGAGGACAATTTAAACACCACTCTTTAATTACATGAAATTTATTTAAATCAATAAAATTTTAGACGAAACCCTAAAGCCCTTTTGTGCTGCTTTTGAGGGATAATTTTATTAATTAAAGAGTGAATTATATATGGATGTGTAATTAAAGTAATTATGTTCCAAATTTGGTACAAATTCTCATCGACATTCTCCTTTTTCTCCAACATATTATTTATTTATTATTATTATTATTATTGATCATTTGGTTTTTTCTTGCATGTTGTTCTTATTTAATTTATTTGGTTAGAGGGTTTCAATGTAGGCATAACAAATAAGAATTTGATTAATTGATTCATGGATTAATTAATAAATCGAAATTGATCGCTATCTATCGGTACATAATATATATATACATATATATACACAATACTATACAATATCGGCCCCTAAGGACGGTAGAGTTACTTATGACCATGAAGTTATTAGTTCAAATTTTGCTGATATTTTCTTTGTCAAACATGTCACATATTTCCAGTATCATTTACTTAATTGACATGATTTACAAGTTATTATACCTTACATTAAGTAGAAAGATATGATCTCACAAGTTAATATATACTTCATCTGTTCCTTAACAATCTATCTATTTTGTCATTTTGGTCCGTCCAATAATAAAATATCAATTTTCTTTTTAGTAATTGTACTATCTGCCTAACATTACAAATACCCTTTCAATTTACAATATATTACACAAATGTCGTTACTTTTATATCATACAATACTAGTAGAGTTAATTTAGTCTTTTTACCTTTATTTTTACTTTACCCTAATATAATACTAATATTTTAAAAACTCCATGCAAAAAATAAATTGATATATAAATATGGGACAGAAGGAGGACGATATTAATAATAACTCAAAGTTGTGTACGTACATATGGATGTTAATTAATAATGTAAAACATTAACGTATGTTGATAGTGGAGCAACAAAAGTAACCCAACCAAATAATTGTGTACGTGGAGACTAGGGGCTACATTCCATTTATTATATACTACATTAGTCACAAATTGATTTTGTTACAATTATTTTTAATTTATGTAAGAGCATATACAATGGACTCTTCTTAAAAAAGCTTATAGAAGGTTACGCGTCTAGGCGTATCAATAAAATTCAGGCAATTGGGTGCGTTTCTTTTGTGAGTTTGGAAAAAAATTGGTTTAGATTTGATATAAAAATAATGTTTGATAGGATGTTTTGCAAGAGAAAAAAATATATTTTTTTTCGAAAAATGCAGAGTTCAAATAATAAAATTTGGAGAAACTCTACTAAAGAAACATATTAAATTTTTTGGATTACACAATAGCTAATATAGGGTGTGTTTCTTTAGGGGGGGGTTTGGAGAAATTTGGGTTTGAGTTTGGTTTTTATTTGAATTTTGAGATGAGTTTGAATTTTTATGTTTCTTTTGTATTTAGGTTTGGTTGGAGTTTGAAGAGTTTTGATGTGTATTGATTCTATGGATAATGAATAAAATAATATAAATATGTATTAAATTTAATTGATAAAGTTTATATTGTATGATTTGATTATGAATTTATATTATACCAAACATATATATATTTAAATTTATATTTATTTGTATTATAAAAAATTTTATTCTCTACAAAATGACATATATATTGTATATATATTTTTACCCTATAATTATAATAAAAATTAAATTATATTTATATATTTTTTTTAAAAAAAGTAAAAGCTGCACCAGCCGGCCCGACGGGGGAACACCCCAATTTTGGGGTTTTTACCGTGCAAACGGTGTAAAAATAAAAAATTAGAGTTGAAGAAACACACTCATAGTTTTTTTGTTTCTCTAAACCTACTGTTTTCTGACGCATGAAAATTTTGGAAAGGAATTTGTTCTTTCAATTATTTTTTACACAATCTTTAATAAATATAATATATTATATTTCATTATTTTACAAAAAATTAATATTTCTTGAAATTTGGCCCAAACCCAAGTTTAACTCGCAACTCAAACCTTTTAACCCGATCGGGTTTTAAAGCCCTAACCTGAACTAGGGCCCTTATATCTCATTTTCTAGTTCGATTCTTTCAGATAAGTTGTTCATTTGGGTGTTCTTTGTAAGTTTTTGGGGATATCGGTTAAGGTTCATAAATCAAGTCTGTAGGTTCGGGGTTTTGTTTAGAGGGGGTTGAGTTAGTCCTATGTGAGTCATTAGATTGTAGTCTGAGCCGTCAAAAGTTTCCCAAATCACTCTTGTTGAGTCGCTTGGGAGTCACTGGAAGAAGAAGTCGCTGCAGTTGCTGGTGCGTTGCCACTGCGCCGCCGCCTAGGTTTGTCCGCCGGAGAAAGCACCGCTGGCTGCCATCGATTAGCGGAGTCATATGCGGAAAGAGTATCGATCATCTTTGTGGTTGGAATTTGAAATAGACACGAAATGTTCAATTTAATCACCATGTTTTCTTATACTTGATGTTGTTTTAAATTTTGTTAAGTTTTCTTTGTTTTTGTGCATTTAAGTTGTTGATATTGTTGTTTGACATATTAAAATAAAAATACAACAATATTCAACGTAAAAATATCTATTATTGTTATTTATACAATTCTTTATATCTGAGATATATACATATAAAAAAAAAAAAAAAAATTCAAACCAAAACCCTAAACAATCAAACCCTTTTGTGTTACCTTTGCTTCACCAAATTTCGTTTGGACTTTTTGGTAACAGCCGTCTCTAAAGATACTTTGTTGTACATTAATTTTTCAATATTGGCTTCTGTAGCAGAAGAGAAGTCATCCATAGTGAATTCATTATATATGTTCTAATATCTATAAAATTTTTATATAACTTATAAATATAATTTATAAAAATATCTCCAAAAGATGAAATAATAAAAAACAATAAAACTAATACTATTTTTAAAACACACAAAAAAGATAATGAAACAAAATATATACTCTTTCCCTCTGGCCACAAATGACTCATTCCACTCAAAAACTGTTTTATTTTTATCTCTATCATCAATTAACAAATATTTTTATCTACTTTTAAAATTCTCTATTTTTTTATAAAACTAATTTGTGGTAATAATAAATAAATATATATTATATAAAATTTTACTCGATATTCATATTATATATAGAGTTTATTGAATGATAATGCTAAATATATTTAAAATACTAACAAATCTACTCATGTAAAAAAGAATAAAATAATATCAAAATATATTATTAATAATTTACTAATCTACACTATCTAAAATATCATATCCTTAATAAAAGGGTTCATCCTTCGTGGGAGGCCGGGAGTATATTTTTAATTTATATTACAATAGTAATAATCTGGAAAATCATTGGATTCGTTTCTTTAAGTTTGTTCACCTAAATTAATTTTAGGTGGCACAATTCTTCATAGATATTTTAAAATATATATAATATGCATATTAACCTAATATATAATATAGATTGTACTCCATTCATTCAAAAAAGTAAATAATTCAATACACACTATTATTTTGTTTGACATATTTTTTAATATCTATTGTTAAAAATACATTCATAAAAAAAACACAAAATTTAGACTTGGAATGGAAGGAAATTCACATGTTTCATCTAAAATGACTAAACTAACCAACTAACAATATTGTTTTGTCCATCTGATGTTGTTTAGAGTCTTAAAAACTATAAACACAAAAAAAATATAAATTTATTTTTAGAATCTGAATTGAATATAACTTGCATGGTATATCTAAAACGACCCGAACGAGACGTGAATTCATTTTTAAACTCGCAATTAGACGAAATTTGCATAGTTCAAGCGAAACAACCAAACGAACCTACTCACAATTTTTTTTTTTGAAACTGAGTTTATTTTGAGCCCTAAAAAAATCCTAAACTTTAAAAAAATATATAAATGAATTTGTAGACAAGGAATTGAACAAAGTTCACATAGTTCATATGAAATGAGCATAAACCAATTTAGACCCAATATTGAACAATTATCAATTTTACCTTTTAATCATCACCATGACAAAATATATATATATCCCATGTGCCATTTTTTTTTTTCATAATTTTTGTCCTCTAGCAACGTGTTAAGTTCATGGTTGTTTTAATGCGAGTCGAATTGTGTTACGTAGAACAAGAAATCACAAAAAATGATACTTGTAAGATATATTTTTCCAGGGTGACAAATAAAAGACAAGAGTGATAATTGGTCATAAGTACGAGATATTTATTGTAATTTTCTCACAAGTAAACAATTAGAAATTTACAATAAATATAGGGTTTACATATGGTCTTAAAATAATAAATGAAATCACATACGATACTAAAAAATATTTTTTTAATAAAAATGAAATTAGTAAAAAAATATAAAAATAAAAATTTAAAAAACTTTTAACTATTAACTTTGCATACGAATAAGTATCAACAACAATATAATCCAATGAATTACTATTATTATAATAATAATGATGATTACTTTTATAATTATTATTAATTATCAATGTTATTATTAAAATTGGATAGGTAAAGTGGGGGTGAGAAGACCTAACCCTAATAAAAGCCATAAAAGAAAAAGCCAATAATTACACGTCATTAAATTCCATAATAATTAAATTAAGGACATTAAGTATTATTAAAGTAACAAAAAAACATCATTAGTCCTTTTTAAGGTGCCGATGGATATTCCACATTGTTGAATTTGATTGGTATCTTCTTCTTGCTTTAATGTAAGCATATAACATAATGCATATATCCAAAGTGTGCCATTACGTATAATTTGAAAGTTTTTTGGGATTTTAGAATATTGATTAGAAAATAATAAAAAATTAAATTAAAAATAAGTACTTCATTCGTTCCACCTCTCGTTTCATGTACATTGTAGATACAAGAATTTAATTAAACATTGTATGATTTGTAAATAATGAAAAAAATATATTAGTAAAAATAATTTCGGTATAATACTAATAGTTATAAAGTCTAATCAAGATTAACAAAATTGTATATTAGAAAATTTAAAATGCGATGAAAATGCATAATTATTTTCAAAAAAAAAAAAGAAATGAAATATGAAATGTGAGACGAACTAAAACGGCAACATGAACTATTAACGTGAAATGGATGGAGTATCTGGTAAGATATAGATATGTTTAGTATATAATTGGTTTGTTTG